CCCCCACAAACATTTCACTAGTCCCAATCCTCGTTGACCTATTAATCACTGCTACGATGGAACTAAAAGGTCAAAATTTTCTATTAGCGTTCCAATCCCAGGCAAGTGAAACCTATTCACTTGCCCTACATCAGCTCTCAACTTTATGAGAAAAAAAATCATCGATTCTTCTCTATTTCGACATCTTTCTAGGTTATACTAGACAAATTTTCCTCACATCTATCATAATTCATCCCATGCACCCAGCCTACGGTATATCGATGAGCTCGCACGCTTTCGTATCACCAAAAAAAGATGTACTCTATTAATTAAGGTGGTGTTTGTTTGCATCCTCATTAAAAGGATACATGCTTCATGAAATTGAGAGCAAAATTTGTACTTTGAACTTACGAATTCTGTTTTCCAACCTCAAATTCAAATAATTTTTTTCCAACTTCAACTTCAAATATATGTCCAATGAACCCTAAATACTCACTGATCATCCTGACTCATGTCATTGATAAACACCTCTCCACCTATTCTCCTTATCCTACTCATCCACAAGGTTCCGATAAAAAAAAATAGTGTTTTCAATACATTTTCCTGACGAATTCTTCATTACTAAATGAATTGATAAAACAAATTAACAAACAAAATAAAACTGAATAGAGATAGTAGGAAATCTAACCGTCTTCGCCATCTTCTTCCTCCTCCTCATCATCATCGCTATCTACAGCTTCGAGGTCGAAGAATTCCAAAGCAGCCCTCCTTCTAGGGCGTTGTCTACCACTACCACCGGTGCCGCCATTATCATCGTCGTCATAATCTTCCTCCGCCAAATCATCAATAAAATCGGATCTGCGCCGTTTGCGTCGTCTATAGCTCTCGTCTTCTTCTTCCTCCTCCTCCTCCTCTTCCTCTTCTTCATACACGGCGTCGTCGTTGTAGTCCCGTCGCCGCGGCATAATGCAATTGCTTCGAATTTGGAGAGATTTGTGGAGTTATCGGGACGTTTCAAAAATATGTATAGGTTTTTGGTCGGCTTTTTGCATGGTATAATAATTACTTATACATGATGAATCGTTTCATATATAATTTGCATTTTGCACCCTTCATGTATGCAACTTCTTTCTATTTGCGCCGTATTCTCTATTCTTTGCAATTTACACCCTAACACAACTATAAAATGAACAAAATAGGAACTATATATTCAAAAGCTAAACATTCCATTTACAAAATTGGCAAATGATAGTAAGCCAATCTATAATTGGCCTTATATTATAATTTTCTACAAATATACAGATAATAACTAGTATGAGATGCTATCGGTACCAATTAGACGAATTATCAATATCGAATTAATTAACAATAGGTCTTTTGATTTATTTTTTTCTTTCAAGTTGTTAAGGCATATTTGCTTTGTCAGTTATGTTTCCATTGATATATGTTTGAATTATTTTAGTTTTAATTATTTTTTCGTAACCTAATTTTTCCATTAGAGTGCTATATTGAAATAGTTTCTATTAAGATTTATCTTCCTTTATAGTCAACAACCAATTAACAATATCCAATCGAGTCCTTGTCGATCTATTATATTATAAAACTGTATCGGCTTGTGTATCAATCGACATTTATCACCTTTTTGTTATTAATTTTATGATAATATTCCGTATTATATTGATATTGAGTAATAAGTAAAATTATAAAAAACAATAAAATAGTTTGTGCTATTGTTGAATTTGTAACAATAGAGGATATATAAGGAAACAAACCATGTGTTTGTGTGAAAAGCGCCATATTATGCATTAACAAAATTCATTTATTTATGTTCTTACTTTTACTTCCGAATTGTTCTTTATTTTGTAAAATTATTCTTTTTCTTTTCAAAAACTAGAATGTAAAATCGGGTTTGACCCGACTCTCGAGGCTACCCGACTCACATGCCTCCTTGGAGTGTTGGGGGTTAAAGTTTGGATACTGAAACATAGGAGTGAAGTCCGAACATTCTGGCCAAACCATCTTCTTCCTGTGGAATCGAAAATGCAGCAGGTGAGTGAACTAAACCCTAGTCTTTCACGATTTTAGCATTTGGGGTTTCTCTAAATTCAAAGAAATATTATTGATTTTGTGGAAAAAGGCTGGAACCTCGGGCTCCGAAGTGGAGGTAACGTGGGAGGATCAGCAGAATATTAACAAATTTGGCAGATTGAATAATCGTCTTCATGAACTCCACGATGAAATCAAGATCGCTAAGGTAATCCCTCTCCTTTTTTCTTTCCCTTTTTAACACTTCATTCATAGGTATTTCCACTTTCAGTAGGTTTGTGTATATATTTGGGGTTGAATAGGTTTTAAACACCGAAAGAAGGGGGAAGTTTAAGTGCTTTGATTATGGGAAAAAGGAAATCCGATGTAGTTTTGGACTTGTTGAATACTTAATCCGAAACTAGTTGGGTTTCAGCTCTAGGAATCATTCACATCCATTCCGCTGTACTCAGACCTATTCATTCCAATAATAAAATAAGAAAAACTGTTACTTTTAAGGGTTCTTTTAAGCTAGAATTTCTTTTAATATCACACTTATGACATACTAATATGGGCATTAACCACAAAAGAGTAAGCCTTAATCCCAGCTAGTTGGTATCAATCTATATTGATCTGTTGCTTTCATTGTGTTATGTCTTTAGTTAAGTGCACATTCGTTTCATAGAGATTGTAGGTCTTTTAAGATAACCTTGTCTAGATGGTCTAGGTCTACTTTGTCCATTTTTATTACCTTCAATCATTTTAGTGTCGCACCTATGAGCCAGTGTTATACAGGCTTACGTATGACGTGGAGAAAACAGTTTTGGGTGTAAATGTTGTAGACTTGCTACGCTATAGGGAAACAAGACCTTTAGGCTAGCAAGAATTTTACATTGTTTGTCAAAAAGTAAATGCCATACTTCATCAGCAAGCTATGTGAAGAAAATTGCCAATCATGACAACCTTATCGAGGTTGAGATGGTTCGGGCATGTGAAGAGGTGAGACATAGATGCTCCAGTCAGGAGGTGTGAGAGGTTGACCATGGCGGGCTGAGGAAGGGTAAGGGTAGGCCAAAGAAGTATTGGGGAGAGCTGATTAGGCAGGACATGTCATTGCTTCAACTTACCGAGTATATGACCCATGCTAGGAAGGTGTGCAGGTCGAGGATTAGGGTTGAAGGTTGACAGGTAGTCATGTGTTTCTACTAGGCTTGCCGGTAGTACTAGTACTATTCTTGTATTTTCTTATTCCTGGTTCTTTATTATTACATGTTGTGTCATTCGCTTCCGTTAACCTATTACATTGTTGTTACAGTTGTTTGTTGCTTTGTTGCTTTATTTTCACTGTTACTTGAGGCGAGGGTCTATCGAAAACAACCTCTCTACCTTTATAAGGTAGGGGTAATGTCTGCGTACACACTACCCTCCACATACCTCACTTATGGGAGTACACTGGGTTTATTGCTGTTGTTGTTATACAACCTTATGACCCATTTATTTATTTATATATAAAAATGTATATATATATTGCATTAGATCTACAGGTTCCAGTACATTTCTTAATATAAATTACCACATATGTGATGAATCAAGGAAAATAAGCCTAAGAATTGAAATAGCTATGATTTGAATATTTACAACTGATTGCTTGAGATGGAAAATGTGTATATTACGATGATATGGATGTCCCCAAGCATATGAGTATATCTATATTAGACTCACATTGCAATAAATATATGTACCTACCTCTATTTAGCTTGCATATTAACTATTTCAACATGTATTTTGGCCCTGAAACTGAATGTATAAAAAAACAAGCATATGAGCATATCTTCGTTAGACTCATATTGAAATAAATATATGTATCTACCTCTGTTTAGCTTGCATATTAACTACTTAAACATGCGTTTTCGCCATGAAACTGAATGGTATCAGAAAACTCCAGTGGTCCAGTCCCTTCCAGGTTTATATTTGGCCAGGACTGATTACCTGTGTAAATGAACTTACACGCATTTTGTATTTCCGAAGGTCAATCATTATTTACTTTTGCAGAATACAGATTTTATTGCTTTGATAGAAAAAAATCAGCTGATAATATTCTTGATGTAATATACTTGTCAGTGTTTTGGATAGCGTGCGGCGACAAATAGCGACGAGGGCCCGCTTCACTGAGGCGAGAGGCGCGCAGCGAAGCGCTCGCCTTTTTGATGTGAAGCGACAATTTATACAAAAACATAAATTATTATATATATATATATATATATAAAACTAAAAACTCAATAACAATAATATGTTTATAAATATATCAATTCAAAAATTAAAAACTCAA